TTTCACATCCATACCTGGTGACTGGATGGTCTCGGTCTCCAGTGACACCACCTCTTACCCCTGATGGTCTTTTCTAGTCCCCTCTCTGCTGCCCTTCCAAGCCTTGGTCACCTTCCGATTTCTTGGCTGCAACCGCCATTTCGATGAGTAATGGAACCAAAGCAGACAAGATCTCTTTCTATTTCAAGTTCTTCATGATCAATGCGAAAGCGGTGCGAGTTCCTCCGTAGTCATGATTTTTGTTCTTCTTAGCATTAAACAGCAGTCCTCCTCTGGACCTTTCTTCTTTTACCTTCCCTAAAAGTCATTTCAAGCCATGGCTCTTTTTGGCCAGTCAGATGCTATCGTATGCATTTTTGGATGATGTGGAAGAAGCCATCATTCTAATGCAAACATCATACCTTTTCTGAGCCTGAACCCTCTCCGTGGTTTATAACCAAGACAACCCAAAGGATTCTTTGCCCCCCAAATAAAGGCCCAGCTTTTCACAGACATCCTCCTGCCTCTCTCAGCAAGATCGAAGGCCCATCGGGTGGCGAAAACAGGACAGGGAGCCCTGCGAGGTAGGCCATCCGTTTCTCGGCAGGCATGTCCTGGTATCTCTGGAACTCCCTCGCCAAGTGAACACATCTTCTGCCTTTCTAAGGGGAAAAATGCTTTTTGCTAAGAAAGAATACTGTCACCTGTGTCCTCTTTGTGCAATCCACCAAGATGTGGATCTTTTAAAAAAAGAATATAAATAGGGGATGTAGAGAATTCAGATCTGGAGGATAACAGGAGGCAATCAGTTCAAACAGTACAGCACAGTAGTTAGAAAGACAGACTCAAATTCCTACTCGGGTGTGAAACGCTATCAATCTGACCCTACTTCACAGGGTTCTGAAGATGAAGGTTTTTTATGCAGGAACTCAGTGTAGAAAAAGTGGGATATAAATGTAAGAAAAGAACGAAAGAATCTCACCCGTCACCCCAGGGCCCAACTCTGGCTTTCTCCTTTGTTGCTATTTACATTGTGGCTAGAATCCTATACACCAGGCATCTGGATCCTCTCCCCCCCATGACCCAGATGTGCTCCCCTAAACCTTTTCATTAAAATTCCTTTGTTCCCCTCTAGGGGGCACAGGCAACAGTTTCATACCAAATCTCAATTTACAAACATTTTTGGCCACTAGAGGGCAGAAGGAGTCCCCTGCACCCAGAACCATTTTTATAAGAATTTTAAGGATCACAGGATCAGCCCTTGAAGGTGCTGAGACAATACAGCATCCAGGGGTCTGGAGGTTGTCCACACCTCTTTCATATACAGTATGTACACTGCAAACCTTACTGTGGCATACTGGAGGTGGGAAAGTGTGTAGAAAAGATGGTCATAGGTTTTTTGGGCTGTTTGGCCGTGTGCCGAAGATTTTTCTTCCTAACGTTTCGCCAGTCTCTGTGGCCGACACCTTCAGAGGGCAGGAGTCAGAACTCTGTGTTCTGGTGCAGTGTGTGGAATACTACCCCTCAACTATCACCCCTCAACTATCCACACACGACACCAGAACACAGACAGAGTTCTAACTCCTGTCCTCTGAAGATGCCAGCCACAGAGACTGGCGAAACGTTAGGAAGAAAACATTAGGAAGAAAAACCTCCGGAAAACGGCCAAACAGCCCGGAAAATCCTACAACAACCATCAGATCCCAGCCGAGAAAGCCTTCAAGAATACACCGTGTATAAAAGGTTTAGGTAAAGGTGAAGGTTCCCTTTGACATTGAGTCCAGTCGTGTCTGACTCTAGGGCGCGGTGCTCATCCCCGTCTCCAAGCCATAGAGCTAGTGTTTGTCTGAAGACAGTTTCCGTGGTCACGTGGCCAGCGCGACTAGACA